TCCTTCTCGGCCGCTACGCTCCTCCAACGAACGCCGCCTGGTTCTGCCATCCCTTCACACAAAGCAATCCCAGTCCCGGCTATTCTCATCTGTGACACCACGATGGTGGAACAAGCTACCACACGCCATCAGAGCAGGGGCGTCCCTCTCTAACTTCAAGAAGCTCTTGAAAACTCATCTCTTCCGAGAACACTTTCTCTTATAACACCTCTAACTCCTAACCTCTAACATGCACTTCCTGTGCTCTTCTTCTTCTATCCCCTACAATGATCTTGTATTGATTGCACTTTTTGTTTTGATTGCACTTTTTGTTAACTCTTACTTCCTTCCCTAGGTATCTACCCCATTGATGTGATATGTACTGTGAGCTCTTACTAGTATGTATTGTCAGTTGTAGATCTGTAGTTGATGCTCTGTTGATGCTTTTATGTTGTTCCTCAAATGTAAGTCGCTTTGGATAAAAGCGTCTGCCAAATGAGTATATGTAATGTAATGAAAATATTGGCTGTACTGGATGATTCCATATATAAATGTGTATGTGCATGTGATCAAAGGCATAACTGGTTAATTGTAAATGTGTTTAGTTTTTAAAGGGGCTACATTTAAGTTTTTGATTTTAATAAATCAAATTGTCATTGCCTTATTGTCAATGGGCTCAAAACTCACTTAGAAATGAAGCACACGCCTGTTTTCTCCGTGGCTTGCATCAGCCACTATTCTGCTTTTAATGTGCGTCTCCGGGTCGGATTCAGCCCTGTGCGCGCTCCCGAGCCTCTCTCTGACTACAGCGACAACAGCAGCTAACGACATGCAGTCCACTAACACCATAAAAACAACCGCCTCACAGCAAAACACAGGCTCCACGTAAGGATACAAAACAACAATAAAGGTTTATGTGCTGAAGCCCATCAGAACAAACAGGTTCAGATGATGTCGAGTAACAACAAAGTGAGCATTAGTAAAGCTGGAAAAACACAGAGAAAGACACGTTAGCTCTGCGGCTAATGCCGAGCAGTTGCTAATGTTATCTAGTGCAAAGTTATATTGCTTTCCACATTACTTCACCAACTAACGCGACCCATGTTACTATCCTGTGTACCACTGTTGATTTAGCCTGCAGGAAAGGATGTAACGGCAATGTGGAGCAATTTATTTACAAGCTGATAAAACTATTATTGTAACGTTGCAGTGGGAGTTTACCTGAGTTTCCAGCTCTGTCTGTTCTCCCCGTCTGTCTATAGCCGCTGTCACGCTGCCTTTTTCCCCCGGAGGATTGTGCCGATATGGGGCTTGCTGCGCTGAATGAAAGGTACAGCGCTGGTGTTGATCTGCCTGAGACGGGAACGTTGACGTAACAGAGCCTGAACATGTCTGGATAAAAGCCACAGCCTGCATGCTGGTGTTTCTGCGATTATTATGGTATTTCTGTATGAAACTGGTTGTGTTTCGGATTATGCTTGCTCATGAGCACATACCTGGTTACAAACTACATAATGCCCCTTTAATTGTGATTCAAGTATAATGTCATCAGGTTACAAATATAGTTCATGTTGGTACTTTTCAACTCAAACTCTAGTTTCATGTTATTTCTGTTCACTTCTATGCACCTGATTGGTTGAAAATGTAACTATGTGACCCTTGAACTTGAGTTTTGGGACCTGTACATGTCAACACTATACCAGACTTGTTTTAAGTGAGAGGCGCCTCACGTGGGACCTGGGCAGCTAAAAACAAAACAAGCAAGAACCTGTATTCCAAAATAACCCACAAAGCTCCAACGTGGCTCAGTAGCTTACACAGTCGAGGCCTTAGAGAGTCTGTGTGTGTGTGTGTGTGTGCGCCCGGTGTGGGGCATTGGCCCTAGACAAAGTGCTCCGCCGGCTTTCTGCCCACTGGTCTTTTCATTGCTGATGGATGGGCCCTGTTCAGCACCATCTGGCTATAGGATATTTCACATTAATCATCACAAACACACACGCTTCAGTCTCTTCTTAAGCATACACACACCAGATGAGTACAATTGCCTCCATGTTAATGAACAGACAAGAAAAGATCTACAACACTGTTTAATATACAGATGCAAAGTGAAAGAAAGTAACAAGTAAAAGTAACAAAATAACATTATTTATTTTTATTGACAGCCCATTTTGCTTGCTTTTTAGCTAGCCATTTTCCACATTTGTGAAGCTGAACTAGCCAGGGGAGATTTAGAAACAAGCTTGGTACAAAAACCCCCCAAAACAATTAGTTCATTAAAAAACATTGTTTCATTTGGTTTGTAGCCTTAAGCTATAGAGCAATACAGCAGAGTCAGTCTTTATAAATGACATTTTCATACCTATAGGAGGATGCATATTAACAAAAATGGATTTAAAGACACCAATTTCTCCCTTTCCTCTAAATCTGTGTGCTCTCCCTCTCCCCTATGTCTCTCTCCCCCTTGGACACACACACACACACACACACACACACAGGTTAGTAAACACATTAGATCCTTACATAAACTGTTAAGTTGAAAGGCCAGACACCCAAGGGAATTAAATGTAAAATGAGGGACATTATCAGACTTCATTTATTTCTATCTACCCGTTATATGAGCTTAATACAAGATGATTTGCCTCAACGGTTCATGGACATGGGCAAGGATAGGCAGAACCGTGGTGGATCTGAGAGGAAGCACGCTTGACATTAGATTTATTATCATTAAATCGTTTCTCCCGGCTATCTGGGTTTGTAATGCAAGGGGATTTATTTGCACATCTACACAATCTATGGAAAAGGAATAAGACCTACAGGAACATGGCTGTAAGATGAGCTGCATGGAAGATTTACAAGAAACTTGCTTGACATGGTAAAAATATTTATGTCCGAGGCCTATCAGATACCATGTCATAAGACAGGATTACTTTTGACACATTATATCCACAACATATATAGAAATAGGCAAGATTATCAGTACAATAGTTTTTTTTGTTACTCTTCTCTGAATTAAAAACATATTATGTTATGTAGCAGTAACATATCAGAGGAGAGCAATCATTTATTATCCACTTGATGTGTATATTATGTAGGATTGCCCTTCTAATAAATATGCGTAGATATTTCAACATAGCTGTTGTATGTTATATTATATAATATGCTTAACAGCATGAAAAAAGCAGAATGTAATGTGCCATATATAAATGTAAAACCTATCACTGCAAATGAATGTAGATATTGGAAAGATACAATGTATTCGTTGTTTTTTAAGACAAGATTTCTAATATTGCCTTCAAGGATTTCAGAAGGTCTGGGGCTCTGACTGCGGCTGTGTTTCATCTTTAGCTTGAACTTTGGAATGGACAGGGGCTTTATCCCTGAGGATCTCAAGATGCACGCTGGCTCACAGTGAATTAAGAGGCCTAAGAACTGGTGAGACAATACAGTGCCTTTTAAGTGGTACTTCACACAAAATCTATCCTTTGAGAATGAAACATTCATCCCCTATATGCTCTGTATTAAAAAAAAAAAAAAAAAAAAAAAAAAAAAATATATATATATATATATATATATATAAAAAACTTACATACAAACTCATCACAGATGGTCACAGCAGAAGTATCTTTCAAAGGTTTCAGAAGTGGTTTGTAACGTGCAACACATTCAGAGATATTCTTTTTCGGCTTCAATTGTGCGGTAGCATCATTTAAGTCCTTAAACCTCGAAACCTTCATGAATTGCCATGGTCACCCCTCCCCTAACAAAAAAAAGTTTGTTTCTAAATTCCACCGGGAATTGTACTTGAGGAGAAAGCATGTTCACATAAACAAAGCATCTAATTTAGATGCCACCGTGTTAATGTATTATGAAGATATTCTCTGCTAACTTTGCCCAATTCACATTCTCTGTTTGCGTTAGGTGTGTGCGTATGAACATGTGCATGTGTGTTCCATTTGAACTACTATTAGTGTGCCTGGGTGTGTGTTTCAGTGTGTGGGAAGAACCACACCTGCCACAATGAAAACGTGATCTCTCTCAAATCCTTTTAATTAACATATAACAACGGCACTCTAGAGGTATACCCTCTGTAAAAAAAAAAAAAAAAAAAACACAGGCCAAGATAAAGCTTTGCTAAATGACACAAAGTGACACCTGCAAGGAAGGCTTTAATCACCAACATGTTACCAACATTCATTCTACAGTAGCAGGCCTTCCCTTTAGACCATTTTGCCTTATTTGTCATCATGATAGGCAAGTAATCACTACTGTTCACACCACACCTATTTCTGACAGACCGTTGTTGTCGTTATTTACATGATTGCAGCAAAGCGGGAGACATATTTGACTGGGTGTGGCAACTCACAAGGACCAATAAAGTATAATATAAAATGTCAAAATATAATTTTTCTTCTTCATGACAGCTGAAAGATGTGGTGACAGCTGTTGTCGTGGGGTTGTCACTTTCCAAAGGACATCTATATAAGAACTCAGCACACATACACACGTTGTTGTCACAGGGGTCTCGTCATCATAAGCATGCCTGAAGATAGGCATGCTCAGTCTACTATCAGATGTTAACCTCATCATGTACGAGCCCATACAACCAAATGCAGGACTATACACACAGTTGAGGAGATTTATCTCTGACTTCAGAATTGAATCTCTCTCTCTCTCTCTGTGTCCCTCTCTCTCTCTCTCACACACACACACGCACACACACACTCACAATTTAATCAGGGACAAACACTTGAGCTTTTCTCATCCGCTAGATTGCTGACAAGAGGTGTCCATCTTGAGGAGACAACAAACTCATCACAGCCATACAGACAATACGGTGATGGGTGACCTACAACTACTTCTGATGTCAAGTGAGGGCTTCTGGTCTAGAGGTGAATGAGACTGAACACTCACATTAAGGGACAGACAGACAAAACAGCTGCAAAGACCAGCACATTTTTATGACAAAACTGAAACAGCTGATAGACTAAATCCAGGAACACAAACACTGAAAGATGTCTTACCTTGTGGTCATAAGGGTTGTAAGAGTGGAAGAGTTGTGACAGCTCCTTAGTCCTCTGCTTCTTCTGTAGACAATAATAAAAAATAAATAAATAAATAAAATGAATTTAAAGTTTAAAAGCCATTCATATAATGCATGTATAATTCAGCCAAGAAAAAGGTAGCTAGTAATTGTAGATACTGAAGTATATAGTTTGATTAAAACCAATTCATCTGTTCCACAAAAACTTCCTGAAAAGTTAAACATATAATTTAAGCATCCACTGAGTATGTCTACACTGTCTACTTGTACTGCAGGCATTGTCAGAAAAACTGGTCATATTTTATTCAATAAAATATTGTTCCTTGACATGTCCTCTTCCTCTTCTGCTTGTCTGACAGCTAGAAAAATACAAACACATACTGTAGGGCAAAATATGGACTGTCTCACTCATGTTAATTTACTGAGTCACATATACAGAAGGAAAACAAATCACCATGGCTAAGAACAACCTCTAGAGTAATTCATTAAATCTACAAAATATAGAATAAACACAGGGGGAAAAATAAATAAATAAAAGCCCACCGATAACATATTTGCATAAACTATTTCTCATTTTATTCCCGCTAAAAATCTGGCCTTAACCTTGCTTGTCCTTAACGTGTAATGAGATACACAAGCGTGAGACTTGACTGTTTGATGTGTGGCAATTGTTAATGCAATCAGTTACATGACGCCGACACAGTAACAAAGAGTGCTAATTAGCTCGCTGATTAGGCCATGTCTAGCTAAGAGGGAAGAATATGTGTATATGCTACTCAAGCTAAAGGGGATATGCATTCATTGCCATGCTCCTCCTCTCTCTGACCTCAGGCCAGATCTGTACATATGGAGCATACAACTACATCTCACCCTGCTATCAAACACAGCGTGACAAACAAATGCTGCTTCAGGATGGGCAAAGGCAGCTTGAGGATGTAGAGTAGAGAAGGCTTGTTTGGTATGGTGGTCAGGATGTATGGTCAAGTTTACAAAGATGGACATGGATTCAAAAGACAGGCTGTGCTAGTCCTTAGAAGGGAAGAATCGAAAGGCCAAATTAAGAAACTAAGTGCTAAACAAAGTCAACACAGCAGTGTAATAGAGGAGATGTGGCAAGAAAGGCAAATGCAGGAATGACAAGGAAAGGAAGGTGAAATAAAGGTGTTAGGGTAGAAGTGTTTAAAGGTGGCGATCGTAGTCCTTGCCCTCGGCCAACTAACGCTTTGACTTCGTCTTTCTGTCTCTAGTGAGGGCCATCCTTTCATCACAGCACCCCTCATCGCTCCTTGCCTTACTCTCTATTCCTACTGTCTGTGTATACCTTCACTTCTTTTTTTCCCCACGCTGCATTTCCACCCACTCTCTGCTCACCTAGGGCTCTTGTGAGCCATACAATCCTGTAATCATTGCCCCTGTCCTTCTACCATCCTCTCATTCTTATTTTCACCGGATTCCCTCTCGCTCTCTCTCTGCCAAAGGGCTCTCCAGAACCTCCAAATCCTCTTTTCTCTCGTTTTCTTTGCCTTTCCACGTATCCCCCATTGCTCCCTGTGTTTTTTCTCCAGTGAAGGAATACTCATACTAATCATTCTGTCTTCACTCTCACCAATCCTCCCCCTTACAAGTCTGTCCCTCCACAACCTCTCTCTCTGTGTGTGTGCGCGCCTGGAGCACCTCAGGTGAGATCAATTCTCTCATCATTTCTCCTCAACACCATTCTCTCTCCTACTTCCATCCCTTCATCACTCTCATCATCACTCTATATTCAGTGATACTCAACTGCAACTGGGTTGGGGGGTGGGGGGGTAGTGAGGCTTTCTCAACCCACAATGAGCTCCCAACAGAATTTACCCAGTTCAATAGCACATACACTGCATGCACTATTATTTGGCAAGTATGAATGAAAAATTACTTCTTTGCACATATTGGAGTTAATCATTTTCAGGTGATATGTATTTGCGTAATGAGGGACGGTGTGGTGAAAGTTAATGACACCTTATATCAAGGTGTACATGATTATTAGGCAGCTTCATTGCTTCAGGTAAAATAGGCCAAAAAACGAGATTTAACGGACAAAATTGTAAAATGCCTTTCAGACGGATGCAACACTCTTGAAATAGATAAACTTTTATGGTGTGACCACTGGTCCACTAGACCAGTTGCAAATTAACTGCAAAAAGACTTGAGTAGAATTAAACGTGAAGTTAACAGGAACCCATTATCCTCCAGTGCCACCATACTCCAAAACTGCAACCTACATGGAGTGTCCAGAAGTACAAGGTGCCAAGTGCTCAGAAACATGGCCAAGGTCAGGAAGGCTGAAAAACGGCCACCACTAAATAACTTTTACAAGTTGAAGCATTTAAACTGAGCAGAGAAATACCTGGATACAGATTTTTCAAAGGTTTTATGGACAGATGAAATGAGAATGACTCTTGACGGGCCAGATGTATGGGCCCATGGCTGGATCACAGATGGACACAGGGCACCACTTAGACTCAGGGACCAGCAAGGTGGCGTAGAGGTACTGTTATGGGCAGCTATCATTAAAGATGAGACAGTTGGACCTTTTCGTGCTGAAGATGGACTGAAACTCAACACCCAAACTTACTGCAAGATACTTTCTTCAAGCAGTGGTACAGGAAGAAGTCCTCAGTTTTCAAGAAGGCCATGATCTTTATGCAGGACAATGCTTCATCACATTCATCCAAGTACTGAACTGCTTGGCTAACCAGCAAGGGCCTCAAAGATGCCAAAATAATGACCTGGCCCAGATCCTCACCTAACTGAATCCTACTGAGAACTTGTGGGCCTTTCTCAAATGTCACATTTACAGACAAGGAAGACAAGACACATCTTTGAACAACATTTGGGAGGCTGCGGTTGCTGCTTAAGCAAAAGCTGATAGTGAACAGATCAAGAAACTGATAGACTCCATAGTTGCCTAATAATTCTGCACACTTCTCCTGAGCAAGACAAAACTCACTTTTCCATTCAGGTTGAGGTTCAATTATATTTTGGATTGACTGAAAGTTTTGTGTTTGTTCAACTATAAAATGAATACTGAGTAATACAATTTACCTAATAATTGTGCACGCACTGTACACATACACACATATACAAAAAACACACACCAACAAATGCTCAACCAAATGCACGCCGTACAACCAAAGGTGCAATAACATGCCAATTACAAGGTAATTCTATGGCCAACATGAAAACAGAAGTAAAGGAGTCAACTGAAAGAGAAAAGCAACAGATTAAAGAATAGTTGCAAAATGGTGTGACAAAGAGAACTTATCAGAGAACTTAATGAAGGGGAAACATCATCTCATTACTTGTGACCCTGTAGACTTCTTCTCAAGTAACTTAGGGGCTGGACATTTTTGATAGTGATATCGTCGGTTTAAATCCCTCAACTAGTGTGGAAAAAGTTGGCTGAGGGGAAGTGAATGAGAAATGTTATTATTCCACAACAGCTGCTGCTGGGGTGCCCCTGAGCAAAAACTAAACCCCAAGTTGAACCTGTGAAACTAATCTGTAGCCACTAGCAGAAGCCTGCACTGGGGAGGCAGAGATGTGTAAACCTTGCTATTGTGAAGCACGATGAGGTAGAGGTGCTCTACCATATACACTCTGACACTTGAGAATAACTGATGTAAACAACCATCAATGAAAAGACAGGCAGACTTTATCCAACTCTGCACTACACTTGTCTTCAAGGTAGGATTTGTCAAACTGAATTATAGTAGTTTATACAATACAAATAATCACGTGATGCACTTACTTTCCAATACTTCTCTGACAAGACAAAAAATAATCGGTCTATCCATAATCTCTCTCTCTCTCTCTCTATATATATATATTTTTTTTTTTAAATATCTAAATATCAGTGATTCAGGTGGCCATGCCTTCTCAGTTAGTGTTACCTTTCCTATTCCATTGTATCTTTAATTCTATGAGCTTTATTAGTGTGCTGTACGTGTGTGTTTGTGGTCGAGCAACCAGAAAAGTTAATCTATCATGCCATCAAGGTTGTGTTAGTGACAACCCAGCAATGCAAAGCCACTGTGTGCATTTGTGTGTGTTTTTCTGTGAACCTGTCACCGTGGCGATGATGAACGATGGTTGTTACCATTACATCCATCTGTTGTTGCAGTCAGAGACGGATTCTGCGTCTAACAGGAAGTGACATTACATGGATGTATACATATACATACACAGACTCCAAATACATGCAGGAGCAGTGTAGAGAGGAGCAAACACTCTGCTGCCAAAAGCTCGCAAAAACTTGCAAACTTCATAAAAACACAGCTCTTTCACATAAACCTTTTTAACAAAAAGTAAGAATAGCGGCACAATGCCTTGAATCTCTGACACAAGATATGATATTCTTGAGTAAAATTACCCGGACTAAGCTATGATAGTTAATGACAATACCTGGGCAAAAATATAAACATATAAAAAATCCCCCTCTCACCCCTTGCGGGGTGGTATGTGTCATCATCCTTAAGCTCGGGTCCTCTACCAGAAGCCTGGGAGTTTGAGGGTTCTGCGCATTATCTTAGCTGTTCCTTGGACTGCATTCTTCTGGACAGAGACCTCTGATGTTTTACCTGGAATCTGCTGTAGCCACTCTCTCAGTTTGGGGGTCACAGCCCCCAGTGCGCTGATTACCACTGGCACCACGGTTGCTATTACTTTCCACATCTTTTCTAGCTCCTATTTCAGCCCTTGGTATTTCTCAAGCTTCCCGTGTTCCTTCTTGATGTGGCTGTCGCTTGGGATTGCCACATCTATCACTGCAGCCTTCTTCTGCTGTTTGTCGATCAACATGATGTCTGGTTGGTTAGCCATCACCAGTTTGTCAGTCTGGATCTAGAAGTCCCACAGGATCTTAGCTCGGTCATTCTCAACTACCTTAGGAGGTGTCTTCCATTTTGACCTTGGGACTTCCAGCCCATACTCATGGCAGATGTTCCTGTACACTATGACAGCTACCTGGTTATGGCGTTCCATGTACGCACTTCCTGCCTACATCTT